AAGTACAAGACGGTAGAGAAAAGACAAATATTTTGGAAAAACAAAAAGGAAAAAAATTCATTTCCCTTTTACCTTCCCCATTAATCACGCGAATGACATAAAAAGGACCCCTTATTATTGGAAATATCAAACTTGTCCTCATTTTGCCCTTTTTTTATCACTCAACGGTATCCAATTACTCTTAACCCTGAAAATGACATTAATTAATTATTCTTCATTATATCATTCACCAAACTTTAATTATATCATCAAACTACCAAACTAAATTTAACCCCACTTAGTCATTTCATGCTTATGTTTACTTCTAAGCAAAATAAAGGATTAGTTTTCATAATAACATTTATTAATGTGTCACCAATTTAAGCCATTACATATGGATTTATTTGGGAGTGAGGAGATAATGTTGATTTGGATAATTAGTTAAAATACTTTATGCACAACGACAACGGTAACTGTCACATGGTAAAGTGGCATTCTTGATATAAACCAAAACACTAAGGTTAAATAAAAAGAATTGTGTTGATAAAGTGACGGGCATCAGAAAATTTGAAACGAGTGGCCGTTTGAAGTCCAAGTCTAAACTTGAAAATCCCACCCGACATAAATACAACCATCAAACGAACTCTAACTCAACCTGAAATTTAAAATTCTTCTCCTCACCAAGAACATTGACCAAAGACAGATTAATCTTGAAGCATGACGGGCCTGGTAATGGTGAGAGTTGGATGTGGTGGTGCTGGTAAAGGAAACAAAGGAAACAGAGACAGTGATGAAGAACAGAACCAGCTTTCACTGGCGGAGATTCTTATAGCAGCTCTCAAAAAATCAATGATGTCCTGTCATGTTGATAGAGATGAAGATGTTATCTCTACGGTTGATAATATGGATATCGGCTGGCCTACTAATGTAGAACACATAACCCACGTCACCTTTGATCCTTTCAATGGCTTTCTTGGTCTTCCTGTTGAGTTCGAAGTTGAGGTCCCATGTCAAGTTCCAAGTGCTAGGTACTCGTTTATTTTATTGCTCTTGTTCAATTTTTAACTAGTCTTTATCCGGGCTCTTGTTTATGCTTTGGAATGTTTGAAATTTGAATGTGCGCTCTTATGTACGGATTAGCACAGATCTTTAAATGAGGTACCATGTAGTTTCATTCCAGCTGAAAGTTGGTTCTTCTAGCTCATGTTGATGGGATTCTGAACTATATAACACTGTAGGGAGGTTAATCATACACCGTTTCGAAGCCCTAAACCTTCTTTTCTTTGCTGAAAAATTCAGCTGAGTATAGGGGCTAAGTATAACTTCTACTTGAATTTAATCTATTTTATAAAATTTAAACCCAACCTCGTTGTTATCATAAGTTGGAGAGAGCCCCTGGTTTCTCATCTCCCTGATTAATATAATTCAAGATTAACAATTTTGCTCTCTCCCAATTATTCATTTTCTATGTAGCGAAAAAATGAAATTTGGGTTCAGAATAGTCTTACTAGTGTTAATGGCTTTTGTGATCTTCATATAGTCATAAATAAGATGCAAGAATTGTTTAAAGGTATTAGATTTACCACTTGAGATTTCTTTAACGCAGGAAAGAAAAAACCAATAAAAGATTTTCTCAATTCATCAACTATGCAGAGTTTTAGTTTCTTTCCATTCCAATTTCGAAATGTATTGCATGGATTTTCACTTGCTAATTTGCAATTGCAATAATCCAGTCCATTTTTTTGTAGTATGTTTCGTGTTAGCTCTTTTCTCTGGATATATGTATTGTTTTTAACGAACATTTCCTATGTGTCTTGTCCGTGGTCTTGTCTCTCGAATATCTAATTTTGCAGTGCTAGTGTGTTTGGCGTCTCAGCGGAATCAATGCAACGCTCTTTTGATTCAAGGAGGAATAGTGTCCCCACTATTCTCTTGCTAATGCAGGAACGTTTATACTCACAAGAAGGCCTTAAGGTACTTGATGTTAAATTTTGACATTAGCTCACCTTCATACAATATGAGCATCGAGTTCCTCACTAGTTTTTGAGTCGCTTTGTAGGCAGAGGGAATTTTCCGAATAAACCCTGAGAATAGTCAGGAGGAGCATGTGAGAGACCAGCTGAACAGGGGCATTGTGCCAGACAATATTGATGTCCATTGTCTGGCTGGCCTTATAAAAGCCTGGTTCCGAGAACTTCCATCAGGAGTGCTGGATGGACTTTCACCAGAGCAAGTTCTCGATTGCAATACAGAGGAAGAATCTGTTGAGCTTGTGAAGCAATTGAAGCCAACTGAGGCTGCATTGCTCAATTGGGCTGTTGATCTTATGGCTGATGTTGTGGAGGAAGAGGAATCCAACAAAATGAATGCGAGAAATATTGCGATGGTTTTTGCTCCAAATATGACACAGGTTATAAGCTGTCAACTATCCTAGCTATCTAAAAATTATATTTACTTGTTTTCAAATGAGAAGTCGTACCAAATACGAAGTTCTACTTTTTGAATGCAAGAAATTCATCTTAAATAACGTCATAATGCCACTGAAAATTTTGCTCCTTGATTAGATGTCTGATCCATTGACGGCTTTGATGCATGCTGTTCAAGTAATGAACTTGCTCAAGACCCTAATTACCAAAACTCTGAGGGAACGTGAAGATACAGCAACTGGAGGATATTCACCAATGTTATCACATTCATCTGGTCAGCAAACTGATGAGGAATATGATAGTCAGCAAGAGAGGGATAGCAGCTGTGAATTGAGGGGGCCAATATCAGAATATGATGATAATGCACATTACAGCCACAGTAGTGAGGATGAAGATGAAATTGAGTCACTCGGTGAAGTAGAAGAATGCTTCTTGAGGCAATTGGATGAGAACAAAAATGTCTCAAATGGTGGTTTCTTAAAGCAGCCAGTGGGTGATTTGCAGGGAGAGTATGCAAGTCCCAGAAGTTTTTCTGGGTTTAATCCTGAGTCTGGTATTTCTTTTACTGATAGCAAAAGCTCTTGTTCAAGTGATGGAGAAGACTCGAGGACAAGTATGATTGCTGTAGAGCAAAACATCAACAAAACGGGTCCATCAAAAGGCATTGAAAACACAAAGGATGTGGAAATGGTCGAGAAATTAGTGGAGTCAGCATCAATCATGAGTGTCCAATAAATCTGTCTGACTATCATTCTCACGGTTAGGAAAAATACTTTATTTGCCCATTTTGGTTTTCTTGCTCTCTCTTCAATCAGAGGGTTATTTCTGTAAATTGATATTGCTTGAAGTTTGGGGGTTTTGCTTGAACTGGGTTGGGTGCGTTTGCTTGTGGTGGTGGATGATTGAGAAAGCCGGTCGTGGTTCAGCTTGGGCTGAACATGTACTAGTTCTATGTTGATGTTCTAGATTGTAAAAGAAATTTAACCTTGACTTATTTAAGATTTAGTATTCCGGAAGTCTATTTGTGGATGATTTCTTAGGGAGTTTGACCTTGTCATGCTTGTTTGATTTGTAAGTATAAATGTCCTTTAATAGCTAAAATATAATGGCGATTCACTCTTCCAAATAGTATTATGTGTTCTCCCAATAAAGTTAAATAGTAAAATTAGCTTATTCTCAAAAATACCCTAACAACCCACATTTACTAGATTCTGGCCAGCTTCTAACAGTGGTGGCTGGAATCTGGTATAATAGCGCACTACCAGCTGAATCTGGCTAGTAGTGCGTCGATCTAATCTTTTCAGATCAGATTCATGACAGCTAGTGGCCGTAGCCAGTCGTCGACGATGGCCGTATCTTTGGCTATCGTTGACGACCAAATGCAACCAAATCTGGCCGTCAATGGCTAGATCTAGCCGTAAATCTGGCATTTTCTAGTCAGATCCATCGTGGATCTAACCGAAAAAGGTCATATCGACACACGACCAGTAAGATCCAGCCGATCATGCACCGATACGGTAACTCTAGTAATGGTGGTCGGCTATCTATATTTAATGGGTGAATTGGGGGTATTTTTGTTAACTTTTAATATTTTATTATAGGGGTGTTTAATAAATAAACAAATATAGAGAGTATTTTTATTAATTTCTAAATCTTACATCGTAATACCCATCTAATTTAATTTTTTTCAAAATATTATTTAAAAAAGTATCATAATAATCAGCCAAACGACTCAATACATTTGTGTGCCAGAATAAATAAACTAAGCTTCAAATTGTATTCGGATCTAATTTCTGATGCTTCTTGATTAATAGTATCAGAACTGGAAGTACTTTTACAGGACTGGCTTTAAAGTCCCAGGCGTACACATTTTTTTATGATTGGTTGAACCGTTGTAGATCAAGAAAGGGTATTCTTGCAGTTCTCTCGTCTCGTTTCAGTTTTGAATATACTCCTAAAAGAGATGATGGTATGTTGATGTAAGTTTCGGATGGTATATGAATTTTTTAAACTGAAAGACATAATTTTTTACTATTGATGATGGCGGAACCTATTCCGTTGATGAACCACTATTAGCTACTTGCTTATCTTTTTAGTTTTTATATTTAATATCCGCATGCTACTAAAGCTGGGATCAACAGATTTTTCAGAATCCAAAGTTTATCTTTCACCTCGGTTTGATGCTTCCTCTTGCTCTCTTTCTTCTTTCCTCACTGTATTCTCTCATACGACGCCTAATTTATCATAGATTGGCATGTTCTTCTTCTTTAAGAAAAAGTGGGTGTTTATTTATTTACCTTGCTTGCGATTTACAACCAATCACCTCAACAATCCATCTTGCAATACTCCGACAAAAGATAATCAACTGCAAACAGTAATCCGGAAAATTTAACTCAAGTCAGTAAATTAAATATGATAATTTGTACAGTTGTTATCATTGAAGTAATTAACTGTCTTTAGACAGGCTGTTTTCCTACCTTTCTCTTTAACTCCAAACCAAATGAAATGATGTTACAAGACGAACAAAGGATCCCAATCCCAATTCCAGAAGAAATATTAGCAAAGAAACTAAATAAGAGAAAACAGAAGCCAGAGTTAAGATGCCAGACACGTTTCCCAGAACAGCTTGTTCTTCTCCATTTCACTCATTACTTTTTCAGATGAATCATTCGATTTCTTGTCTCCAGAAATACCATTTTGTTCTTGACTTGACCATGTTCTGTAACTATGAACCTCCTCTCCTTCCTCCACTTCATCATCAACATGTACAGCTTGAGCATCAAACCCGTTATTTACATCACAAACAAATGGGAAGCCAGATAAAATGTAGCTACATGATTCAGCATCGTCATCTTCATGGTTAATGGCAGTAACAATGTTAGGATCAACCACAACATCAGCCTCTGAGTCACCAGTTGCTTCAAAGAAAAAATAAGAAGACACATCAAAAACATTCTTCACGTCCATCTCTTTCGACGAAAAAGAAGAAAGCGCAACATGAGTTGGATGATTCAGGAACTTTGGTTTAATGACAGCCCACGTATATATATATATATATATATATATAGGAAGCTCTCTACATGATTGGAAAGAAACAAAAGTGAAGAACCAGGGCTGTCTTCTTTTGACTTGATTAATATGTTAACAGTAGTTCGCCGTTTTAGCTGCAGGTGGGCTTCATTTCATCAACTTGCCAATTGTTTTATGTTCAACAAAAGAAGAAAAGTTGATGTTGAAATATAAGAAAATGACCGATATAAAAAAATGTGCATCCCTTCTAGAAGAAAATATCAAATATAGGGTGGGTAATTAAGAAAAATATGATTCATAAAAATATATATATATAGATGAAAACCAGTCTTCCAGAAGGAAAGATAGTCCATGTGTCAACATCTTGGACCTTACTTGTTTGGCACCTCCAACAGTTCTCATCATTTAAGAATTGTTACTTTACCACATTCCACGATTTGCTGCAAGTATTTAGCTATAAAGAAACCCAAACTTGCATGTGTTGACATAACAAAAATTAATGGTAAATTAACTATAGAAAAAGTCATCGTCAACATGCCAACTCCAGAATTAGAAGATGGTTGAAGACAATAGAGAAAAAACAACATCATCAAATTTTACCAAGTTGAACAAATTCAGCGTTGAGGACTCAACCGTCAATCAATACACCACGGTTAGTATATAGGCAGGCCCATCTGTTTTTCGTCCTAATCGGTTTGTTTCTTCTTTTAGAACACAAAATGAAAACAAGTGAAATATTTAATGTTTCACGAAATCATTAATCAATGAACATGACAGGGTGTTAAACCATATTTCTGAATCGTGGATGATTCTCAATAGAGACTTGTCCTGTTAAATTATTGTTCCAAATTCCAATCAGTAGGTGGGTTTGCACAAAAAAGGGTAACCAGGATCTAGAATACAAGCTTGACTTTGTGACAACTCAACCTTATCATAACAAGATAATGTCGGGAATCGAAATTAACAGATATATACGTGAATTAAATGCATACGGCAAGACAAGGCAATTACATAGGATTCCACCAATGATTTTACCCACTATAAGTCTTAAATCTACCACGTGTCTATGGATTATTGCCTGATACTTAAAAACCCACCCGAATTGGCACGCCGATGCCTCTAATAGTCAAGTCATTTGGTTTTCGCCTTACCCTTATCAAAGAAAACAATGCGAGTAACGATTGACATTTGACTGTTGATTTATATTTATAAGCGTAGAGCTCACTCTAAATCAGTTTTACCATGATTATCAATTAGTGAGAAATACCTTAGCCAGCCACAACATTCCAACTTCTTATAATACACGGTACACAAAATCTAAGGCCATTTGTTACGTTGAGCTTAGGAAAAAAAAAACACGCGCAAAATTCATTACATTTCGGTCTAAATTTTACTATTGACTTATCAGAATTTTTTCTTTTGTCCCTTCTAGATTTCAGACCTACTAGAAGATGACCAAACTATATTCTCATGCGAGTAAGAAACATGAAAAATTAGAGACCAAGACAAACTCGCACCTGAAAAACTTGCTGCAAATTAGAGGATTGGCAATAATCATGAGCTGCAAAAGCAAAACATGAAACATATTCTTCACAGACGGATACATAAAGTCTACTTTCTAAAAAGCTGGCCAGTCTAAAGATGGAACCTGGCCTCTCTCTAGAAGCTGGCCCAGTCTAAAGATGAAACATCTTCTTCACAGACTGATTCTTCAAATTTATCTCTTCATAGCTTTTTTTACCTTCCATCAACATTGCCATAGTAGACACTATATTAAATAATAGGAATTCAGATTTTTGATACTTGAGACATAATACAAATCACAGATAAATCTTCTATGAATGCAATTACATGATCATGTGGCCTTTCAGATTTATTTAAAGACCATAATCCAACTCAAGAAGTGACCTGATGTTGACTGTCAAATCTTTATTTCATGTGTATATCCTTGCACTAAACAATATTCAGAAGCTGCATTAGATTCTTCACAGACGGATGGATAAAGTTTACCATGATGTTTCCCAGGCAATATCTAAATAATGCATAAAAAATTAGAAATCAAAACCAAGAAATGCTAATATAATGAGCCAATCTCTCTAAAACTTTCAAGTCCCTAATTGAGTTACAACTATTGAAATAGCTCCTTTGCTCTCCAGTGCTGGTCTTCAACTGTGTGGCTGTAAGGTGATCAAAGTACATAAAATTAGAAAGCAACTAGGGAGCAGAATCACACCAGAAAGAGGATTTGGTCTGTGAGGTATTTACAAAATACTAACGTGGGATAAAAGTAATAAGTGAGAGGTAAAAAAAGAAGCACTCATCACTCAGAAATGGGGATAGAAAGCTTTTGTACTGTCTATTCTTTGTGTCGTCTTTGAAACCTTCAGTAATGCAATCACAAACATCAATAGGGTTGCTGAAAGCTACTTGAAGCTGCAAAAAAAAGCTTCACAACTCCAAATTAAAAAAAAAAATTGTCAAAATAAGATACTACTGACAGGTTTGACCATTGATCACAACATAGCAAAGATAAACAAACATTATTATGAAAGCTCAACTCACCCTGTACATACAAGCTCAACTTCTTCATAGGTCATGAGGAAAAAAAATCAAGAACTAGAAACAGTCACGATGACAAAGCACAAAAACATTAAAATGCTACAAGAAGACAAGAATTCATAAGCAGTGTCAAATGTCAAGAAACAAGAACTCAATCCTCTAGTCAGATACAATGTTGATACCGATGTGGAAGGAGAAACTTCACAAAGGAAGAACTATAGCAAATAAGATACTGAAAAGATTTGGATATGAAATAGGCCCCAACGTATTCTCATTATCAACAATTTAAATTGGCTAATATTAGAAATATGCATGCTAACGTGGATGTAGTGAAAATAAGTTACACTTAGCAAAGAGCAAAAGAGGAAGGTTATAGTACACTGCACTTCAGACAGACAACAAGCATCCTAACCAGCCTGCATTGAAAAGCTTTTTATTTCAATGGTCAGACATGGTTTTCACATTGAGTCACTGTAGACTAAGAGACTGCAGCATCTCTATTTTCAAATATTTGTTTGGAGAAACTATCTACTTCCTACTGGCTGTTTCCGGTTGCAAATTGGTGTGAACTGTCTAAGTAAAATTTTAAAAGATGAAGTCCTTGCAAAGACCAAATATAGTACAGTATCGACTCTTAAGAAGAGTAAAGGGAAAAGGGGATTAAAAAAGTACAATTCGTCATTGTGAACAAACAATATTAATCCTTCAGCCAAATTTGTCGTGGGCAAGAGTTTACTAGTGAAATGAAGAAGAGTTTGGATTTGTGTGTGAGTTAGCAAAAGCATGTATATGCATATATACAGTAGTTTGTAGAAGTCTTTCGCAAAATAAGAAAGATTCAATAAGTGTGTCAACAGGAAACCAAAAAGTTCATTAAGGCCAACAGCACAGACCTCCATTCATATCCTCACATAACGATGTACCTCTTCATCCTATCCTTGTCAATCAATTATCTCTGGCCACCTACAAAAAATGTCATGCTGGTTAAAACTGATTAACAATGAAATATACAAAAATGCAACATATACTTCTATAACAACATACCTATCCTGGTATCAAGTGAACTATCCAGGAAAGAGAACATAAGCATGCAGAATGTTAGATAGAAAAAAAGTAAAATCACCCATGAGAAAATTAATAAAGCAATATATTCAAGAATTGGAAAACAATGTTCACTAGACAAGTTCCTAATTTGAGTTATAACATGATCCTAATATTAGTATTTGATGTGACATCCATTGTATGAACTATGAAGTACACAAAAAAAATAAAAATAAAAAAATAAAGAAAGACAAGAGATCAACACAGTTTTCTCAGCAAATATGTATATGGTAACTGAACATTGATACATATCCTCAATGGAAACAACATTGACAAGCACTCAGTATAACTTTGATTTTGACCCAACCAATATAGCACAATTCTTGGAAAATGATTCTGGTGGCTAAAAAACTAATTTTTTTTTTTTTCTTTATATGTATCTTTTTGGACGCAATCACGCAATGGCCTATGCCAGGGAACACGGGAAAGAATAAAGAACAATGCACTATGCAGTCACAAAATATGCAGGAGATAACATACTTGTAAATCTTTAAGTATCTCCAACACAATGAATTACTTCCTGATTCCTGAAAACAAACGCTGCCAATATTAAGAGAAACAAAAAGGTTTTTATCAAAAGAAAATAAGCAAAAATGCCAATAAGGACAGGAACTCTACAGCGAAAGAAAAAAGAGAGGCACAGGGGGGGATATGTGCTACAGAGGTTTCGTAAAACATCATACCAACAACGTATTTTGTGGGAAAAATCAATAAATTAATAATTGATGTCTAAATGAATTTCCATGATACACAAATTACAAATTGTATTGGCACAGGATGCACCATGAATTACAAGTTTCTGGGATTTCAATCCCAAGAGGCAATTACAAGGAGGATGGAGTAATGCATGTAAGCACCGATTTATCTCAACCATCCCAGATGCAGATACTGAGGTCACTCCCGAACATCCAGATTGCACGAGAGCACATATCATAGAGCATTCTGCTTCCTTCCATGACTCAACCTTCCAATCAATAAGGTTTATTCTGTTTGTTGTCTCTCTTAAGCTGAACTTTCAATTTCTTACCACTTAATTGGAATCCATTCATCATAGCAATGGCGTTTTGAGCAGCAACTGGTCCGTCATAACTGACAAATCCTGCAAATAAAGGCTTACTAAGATATACAACCCTACGTATTTCCAATGAATTCAGAGTTAAGAATAATTTGCTCACCAAAACATTTGCTTACACCAGTAGCTTTATCAACAAAAACTTTGGCGCTCAGGACCCTACCAAATTGTTGAAAAGCATTGGCAAGATCTTGGTCACCAAAATCTTGAGGTATGTGATAAATGAATAGATTAGCACCCGGTGGACCTAAGTAAGAAGATAGCATAAATTAACGGAATAAACCTCCAAGAGCTTTCCATGAAAACAAGTGAAATGAAGCAAAAGATGGCAAACCTTCAAGCTGACCCCCAGAACTTGTACCAGGACTCGATGAAGCTGCTGAGTTAGTATTTGCACCTGTAGGTGTGACCGAACCAGGTGAACTGCTCAAAGGTCGGTGACCCAACATTCCTCCAGGATATGCCATGGGATACTGAAGAGCAGGTACATTAGGATAACCTGAGCCCACATAACTTGCAGGAGGTATTGCATAATTTCTAGGGCCCATATTTGGTGAGAGGTCAGGTGTGGCACCACGTATTGCATTTCCTTGATTTACAGGAGGGATTATACCATGAAAGGCATGTTGATTCTGCATTGGTGGTAGGCGGTACTGCATAAGTCCATAGGCCCCAGGAGCCTACAAAGAGAAGAGATGATCAACAACTTATAAGTCAATTTTGATTTTAAGTACTATTCAGGAAGTGTGGTACAAAGCCAAAATAGGTGAAATTGCTGATCATTTCTACTATACTAGCCCAGATGCATTGCAAAAAATTTAATAAACACCATATAAAGCAAACATAACTGAACTTGCCTGATATCCATATCCATTATATGGGGGAACATACCCTACTGGCAAGGCTCCGAACAATGAGGGATGTTGAGAATCAACATTTGGTACATTAGAAGCCTGGGATTGAGCTTTCTGGGCCCTTCTTGCTTGTCTTTCCTTTTCTGTATCTGCCCATTTGACAACCAAAGGAACACTTGAACCCTAGCAGAAACAAAGGATAACCATCAGAATAAAATCACAGAAATAAATTAGCCCAGCAGTCCCAGGCTTCTAATTGTATATAAGCAAATGGTAATTATAAATCCAACTCAACAACTTCAAAAATAGTACTGTAGATTAACACATTGAAGTTAATTGCTCTAGGCTTAAGAGCATACTCAGAAGCAAATTTTCTGTCTTTAATTGTAATCCTACTATTGATTACCATGGCAGATCTATTGAAGAAAGATAAGAAGGGACAGTGCAACACAAGTTTAGGGCCAAAAAGAAAGATATAACCTCAGATGTCTTTGTCCAGAGAAAGCTAAAAGAATTATCAGAACATTGTACTCCAAGTAATTTCTTCTAAAATACCAAATAGAACAGGAATAGATCTCCTAAACAAGTACCAGCAACCCAGAGGTTAATTTTTTGAGATAATATCTCAACTACAAAAAGAATATAAATATTAGACAAACCTCCATTTTATGTTTTCCATTGATAGCCTCCAAGGCAGCAAGGGCTTGTTCTTTTGTCTCGTACTTCAAAAAAGCACAACCTGCAATAAAGAGAAACATGTAGACAAATAAACTATTTTGCTAACCTTGAATAAGATAATTCATTGTTTGGAAACAATTAAGCCAGAGACATGGAAAAGGAAAAAAAAAAAAAAGGATCTTCCAAGCACCTTTACTCGTTTGCTGAGAACCTCTTAAAATTTGTAAATCCTTTATTGTACCATATTTAGAGAACAAAGCAGAAACTTCAGCTTCAGAAACATTCTTCGGCAGCATACCTACAAAAAGTTTGTGTTCTAGATTGCAAAGACAGCAACCAAAAACAAAAGATCAGAATACATGATATGAATATAGTATAAAATGCAGCAAATGGAGCAGCATCAGACAAATGAGATTTACTGCTGCAACAACACACTTTAAAGGAGATATAAGTACCAAGTATTAAAAATATATTATACCTAGCCTTTCCAATTCGCCATCTGCATATTTCACTTGCAACGGACTAGATGCCTGAATTGAACAATGAGCAAGAATAACATGAGCAGGTCAAAATCAGCAATCAGCTGTGGCAACACACTTAAATCAACGGAATTCATGTAAGCACTTACTCATCAAATTTTTCCATTTCTATTTTTCATAAAATTGGATTTAATCAAGAAGTTCAAACCATAAGATCATAAATAACTAGTAAGCATATGCAAGAACACAAAGGCTTAACTGGGTAAACACTTGAAAGTCCAGTGAGGCCTAAATAAGGCACTAAAGTAAAGATCATACTTTTTAGATCTGCGTTTGAAAGCAGAATCAATCAGTTAATAAATAAAATATTCAGTTTAGCTCTTTTTCATGGATTTCAATTCTATTTTGACAAAAAGTTTGTCCCATTTCTCCATAATCATTTGCAATTATTCACAGCTAGTCCTCAGTATTTTCCCTTCATATCTAGTCTATCCAAACCAATAACCATTTGACAAATGCAATTCACCAAAACCCATTGCTCTTTTCTTCCATCAACAATACACTTTGCTATGTGATTAGAAACGCACAACCAACAATAATAGAATTGGCAATTGCAAAACAATTATATCTCCAAGAAGAAGCATTGACCTTCAAAAGGACCATACAAGTAATAATTGGCCAAACGTCCAACTCCAAATGAAAAGAAAACAAAAGGAACAGGATACAAACCCAGACAATTGATTCTATTTAATGCACATAAAAAGTTTCATAATGCAAATTTCAACTCTCCAAAAATTTAAGCATGTTGTATTTTGCAAGTCTCTGTTTATACGTTATAAACAGAGCCATTAATTTGGTGATACATAATCTAGGTACTTCCGTTTCACAGCATACCATGCACAAAACCAAACTAAAGACACTGTTTTACAATGTGGATCAACACATTGCATCATATTTGCTTCCTAATCTACTTTGAAAACAAGTAAATGTTAACTTCAAAACTAACAAATAAGTATACACCATTAATTACTTAATATAATTATTGAACACAATGTGAATTAATCTACAAATACTAACACAGTAAATGCAGCAATTAGTTTCAGTTAACAACTAATTATTTCACTAATAGTTATAGTTGGACACTGAACAGCTTCTCAGATATTTGACCACATTACAACATTTTATCAAGTTATTAGATCTGGAGATCATTATTATAAGCAATTAAACATAAATTCTAATAATATTGACTGATAATGTACGAAGTAATCTATAATAAAACCCAAAGAAATACACATAATTGAACTAACCCCTGGAAGTGTCTTCTTATTATGACAGGCATTGACCGCCTTATCGGCCTCCTGTCTCGATGGACATATTACAAAACAACACCCTACAAACCAAATACACCAAGATTAGGGTTTAAGACTCGCACTGACCAGACAAATCTCAAACAAAACAAAACAAATCACACATTCTTAACAAACACAATAATTTTTTAAAAAACGAAAAAAAAAAAGAACAAGCTTGCAATAATGCAAGATTTGAAAGTAACCTCTCGAGGCACGAGTGGTCTTGTCTTTGATGATATTGACCTCGTCGACCAGGGCGAACTCTTTGAACATTGAAAGAAGCTGAGCTTCGTTCATGTGTTTGGGTACTTGACCTACGAATAGCTTGACGCTTTCTTCGTTGGAATTCTTTTCTTTTTTACCCTCCGCCATTAATGCCTTAAACACACAAACAGGAACACAACTATCGCTCTGTGCCTCTGGTTCTACTTGTTGTCTTGGTTTCTCTCTGTATAAAATTGCTTGTTTTGCGTTGGTTTTTCTCTCTCTAGATTTTCTCTTTCTTCGTGTAGTCGTCCCTTTTTGTTTTTGTTTGGGGAAATTTGGGGATTTCTGGATGGCAAAGTTGGATCTTCAGTAGATTTAATGTAATTAAATTACATCTTAGTGGGCTTTGTTTTAGATTTATTAACAATATTACCCTTACAGCTGTTTCAGTTCTTGGGTTGATGATCGGTGTACATGTACAGTATTGAGTTGAATGGAAGACTTTCGTACTTCCATTACTCTGTCATCTCAAATGACGTCTCTGCCCTTTCTTCTCACTGTCTTATTCCAAGTCTGCATATTTTTTTTTAATCAAACAAATTGATGGATCACGTGGGGCAGATGCGTCTTGTTGGCTTATACAATGATTTAAACCATTTAGTTAACTATCCATTTGTCTTAATTGCCAATTCTCTTTAACGCTATATTATTGTCACACTCATTATTTTGATGTAATATAAATATATATTAAAAAAATAATTTAATTATATATTTGAGAGATTCATATTTGCTATAATTGGCATGCCAACTCTTTATCTTGTTATGGATTAGTGGGAAAAAAAAAAAAAACCAACTTTTTAGCTCATTGTCAAAACAAGTTTTCCCTTGATTCTTTTTTAATTTACTGTGCGGTACCCACTCGTGACGTGTCCACAAATAAATGTAAACTTAAAGAAACAGAAATGTTCCATGGTTGGGGAATTAGGCTTTTTGTTTTTTACTTCATTAATTTGCATCTGATTGATCTAAAAATTCAATTACTATATTACTTCCATAAATTCAACTTAATTAAAATATTATCTTTAAAATAAATAGTATTATTGGAGATAGCTTTAGTCAAGATGAAGCAATAAATACATGTGGATCACCAACAAACAATAAAGACGGCATTCCTTTTTGGTTGAATCATCATTGCAATTTACAACTACCCCTCTACCTCATTGCTGATTATGCATTAATACATCTTCAAATAGTCCCTTTCCACTTTCAGATTGCTTCTCCAAAAATTCAGGTTGGATTTTTACAATCAAGTCTTATGTTTTTGACATGTTATATTTTCATTCATTATGTTTAATTAATTTGTTGGAGGTAATTACTAATTACGAAAAAAGAAAGCATGAAATTCAGCAAAGAAGAAGAAAAAATAACATCAGTTGAGTTTGAGTTGACCATTCCTGGTTGGGTCATTTTCAGCAGAAAAGGGTACGGATGCCGTTAAATGTTAGGGGTAAGATAGTGAAGAGAAAGGGCACAAGTGTAAAAAGAGAAGGAGGGGTATAACGGTAGATTAGCGTGAAAACTGAGGCACAAAGATAAGTGCGCCAGACTGTCCCGCCAAGGCCTCCGCTTAGCTTCCAACACTGCCACTTCTGTTTCCGTTGCAACTTGCAATACAAACACACCACTTCAAATATTTACCCCCACCCTCTCGGTTTAAAAAAGTGAACATTATTATAACTAGCAGTCAAAATGCCCAATTCACCGACATAAAACATAAATGTCATATATAAATTAATTATATCAAAACTTTTTATATTTTCAGTTTGACTTGGATAAACTAAAAGTTGTTTGATATGACTTAAATCATATTATATGATAAATCATGACTTAGTCGGCATGTCCAAGGATGTGATTTTATTTATTTAAAAAAGGCTTTATTGAATTGAAAACAAATCCAAATAATGCATGAAACCAATATCCAGCAAAACATTTGAGTGGGACCCTAAAAATCTGCATCTTATGTTAGACTAGATTATGGGCTGGGTCAAAATACAGTAAGTGGGATAATGATGATGACTCCAGTTTTGTTTTGATCCTTAGACGTAATACCAGATGCACTCGGAAAAACAAACGTATATTGTAAATTGTCTTGGGGCCAAAACTCTGTGAAGTGCGGGAACATGTGACAGCATTTTGATGTACTACCATCAGAATCTTGCCAACCTCTACATTATAAAAATAAACCACCCCTAGTCAAATTCAATTACTCAACTCATTCGTTGTCTGCATATATTCGGGCGGATCAATCTGTCCACTCACTATTTTTATGCAACATATGAAAGTCAACTACAGTATTCCTTCAAGCTCAGTTATTACTAATAACATAAGTTGGATGATTAAAAAAAAACTGATAGGATAAGATCATAAGAAGAAACAACAATATAATATATGACAGAGGCTGCACACTGATATAATCATATAACAAAGACGCAGTTCAATCAGTAACCTTCATTTTAAGAGGTAAGAGTGTGGTTTAAGAAATTTTCTTAAAGTCAAATGATAGTTGGTTGTACCTAAATCTCTAATCAAGTGAGCATCGGTCAAACACATAACAGCAAGTCCACGTTTCACATGCTCCTTCATACCCTTCCATCTTCTGTAATGTCAATCAGAAATTTCTTGACTAATATTTATCACTAAATAAATCCCCATGGATAAGGAGAAAAGACAAAGTAGAGCATCAGTACATAAACAAACGAGAGACTTACGTACTTTTGCCAAAACCAAATAAACAGCAATGCCATTATTGACACAGTCATGCCTGTAATACAAGATGGTTTAAGTTAGACCAGCAGAAGGTTGCATGTTTTCGTTGATTCTTTTAAAATGATACAAAAGTGACAAGTAATATGACTGTAAATTTAACAAAACAAAAATTTTTATAGTTATACCTGACCAGAGCCAGAAAAAAAAAAAAATGTTACACCCCTACTATAAGAAGCCAACTAAATATTGGTTTTCCTAAAAGGGAGTGGCAGTCCTAACCACCAAAGAATTAATAGAAAAGCGAACTAAAATAAATTCCCTTAGTTGGCATTTGCTGGTTATGATGGAAGCTCTCTGGCATATCAAAAAAAGGCTTTATGGTCAACTATTGTGGCCTGTGGGTGACTGCAAATAGACAATCCCACCACTACATAGCATCCAATCCAGCAAGCTTGCGTAGCTTCTCACAGAGGATAAAGGTGATTGTACTTTGTGGACCCAATCTTGCGAAAACGGCAAAGCCCCTACAAAAATTTTAGTGGAAACTGTTCAAAACCATGAACTTTAACATTAACTGAAATGAAAAAAAGAAAATAACCTGTTAAAAGATGCAAATACATCAGAAATATTTCAGAACAGTAACTCCGCCCTCAGTAACCAGAATTCTTTGGAGAATGCACTGAAGTAAACATGGTAATAAATTTAAACCATTAACTAGTAAGTCATTGAGTAAAGGCTTTAATAGATCATCACCCTTTATAAAGTGCCCTTAGGCCTTCTGTACGCATGACCTGAAAATGCACATTACTAAGATATCAGACAAGAAATACAGGGAATGAATAGTGTTTCAGAAGAAAGTTTTATTCTAAAACTATAATTGGTAGTCAAGTGTTCAGCACGACGCATTAAAGTGATATGTAAAATAAGATCATGTTAATTCAAATTGAACCCTGATATGTGTGTATTATAGAGGAAAAGGAGGGTGCAAACACACAACTTTTTTTTTAGCATAGTCAGAACAGGTTATGGCAATGACTCGGGAAAATGTGGATCAAACAACAAATGAAACCTTTAGCAACATGAATATGGAAACCAGAAGTGTTAAAATTGGGACTCTGGTTACGATTGCATGTTACAACGAGAATGATATAATGTGTATTGAACCCACAACAATGGCAGAAAGGAAACAGAAGAAAGCAGCGAGAAAACAATTTCCTAAAAGGTAAAGAAAACTAGCACAACACAATATCATCTGCAAAGCTCAGTGGTCTTTTCATACTTAAAGGTACAAAAGCTATATATCAGAGTCACTGAATTACTATTCTAATCGTTGACTAATTTAAACAACACAAGTAATCAACACTACAATAAGGTCAATCTCAATGATAAAATAATAAGATAGGTAAAGGAAAAATCTAAAAAAGTAAGAAGTAAAAATGAAACAGAATAGATACCTGGTATGCACAATGAAATCCATTTTTATAGCTTCCAACTGTCCTGGATTCCCGTTGCAACATGAGACGGGTTTTGACCATGTCCACAGGTGCAGTTATAAGGGTACTCACCAAGCCTGCGATTGAACTTGAGCTACATCAAGTACACTACAGTTAGATATCAATGAAATAAAACAACAAAACTAAAACATTTAATATTGAATTAAATGGTGTCAACAAAAGAAAGTATCACAAGATTGGGCTTCACTTACTAGTATATGAGCAAATCTAGTAACAATATAATACACCATGAAGTATTATATTAATACTATGTAAACACTTCATCAGAATGACTAAAAATGTCACCAAAACATTCATTCAGTCATACTTTGATAAGACTTGACCACATCGATTGAACCTTCATCTTTGATAACTTTGGCTTTTTCTGTGACAGCATCAATTATTTGACTAGAGTGTATTTAAGTAATAATTTTTAAATTATTATTTTAATAATCTAATAATTTAAATTTGATTAGTTTCATGATCTTTTTAGTTTTCAATGTCATCTTAGGGCCTAACTTTAGAAGGTTCAAAAGTTCTCTGAAATTTAAAACACTGTATCTCATAGGAAGAGGAAGAAAGTTACAAATAATGTCATACATCAAATGCAGATGAAATCCTTCTTCAAGAGGTGTCCACCTAATCAAAATCTGCATCAATCAGAAAGGAGAACATTTAAATTATGCAAAGACTGTTTAGAAGAAAATATTTGGACAATGACAAAACAGACAGTCTCTTTAGGCTACAAAACTAAAATGAATTAAACCGTTCAGAAACTGTGGAAATTACTTCGTGGCATTCAAAGTGAAAAATAGCATGCTTAGAACTTGACCCGCTTGGATTCATCGTACGTTGCAAGCTGCGAGGCAGTCAAAGCAGCAGCTCTGGCCATAGCAGGGCCGACCCCTTTCCACAGAGCTCTTATTCCTTCTTCGGAAATGAGTCTCTGCATTTCTGCAATTGGTCCAAGGCTCGTGTTAGAGCTCATTTGCAGCCGTACCTGATGAAAGAAATGATTTCTTAGATCCAAGTATAAAAAGGAAAGTTCTGAAAAGCCTAACCTTATAGTTTACCTTCAGAACTTCAGTTGGATTAGTTAGTGCAGTTGCAGTCGCACCAGAAAATGCTCCAGATGCAATCTTAACCAAGATATTGGTGGACCCAAATGCCCAATCGCAGGCATACTTTGAGGGCTCATACAAGCCCAAACGTAGACCACCATACAAAAGTGATCTTGCCAGTGCAGGTGTCAATCCCAGATACAAAGACTTTGGGCCTTCATTTTTCAACATTTGAACAAATAATTGTCCCTGTATGCATACATTAACAAATCATAAAACAGAATTAACTAAGAAACCAGAACATCATGGTAAAACAAAATCAAAAGCTTGGCAACATACCATTCCAGTCAAAGGACCCCTCTGACCAACAAGTTGCATTTGCAGCCTAACTTTGAGTACATCTGCATCCCAAAATGAGATAATTAGATGTCTAAAGATTCAGGAAACTTTTCCTATACTTCCTACAGCATATTAGAAAGTTCAAAATCAAGGTCTAAAACATCATCTTCCCTTTGAATTCCAATTGTTTCATATCTAATTGTTCTCAAATATAGTTACCAGGATAATCATCCATGACTTAATAATAGTAGAATAGTGAACCATTTATCCACTTGCTCCCTTTAACGCAAAAGCTCATTGTTCAAGAAGATTTCATGAATGTACAGCTTGCAATATGAAACCCTCTGTTCTTTTTTCTAAGCTAAAGGTTCATACTCCTTAATCCAACTTATGCTTAGAAAGCTAGGTTGAACCTTCCTATGAATGCAGTTACTCCTATAGAATTATTGATGATCATTTGCTCATAACCACCAAAACACAAAAGTCTTTAATAAAGGGTCCAGTCGGCACCTCATTGTCAACCCTTTCGAAGGATAGACCAGGCAATTGAAAATTTAACCCAAATCATCATCTACGTGGAATGCAGAACAGTGCAATGAATTTACGGCCAATGGCAGTGCATCAGTTCCTCCAAAAGAGATAATCCAGTTTGAGTTGAATTGTGACAAATTGGAAACTCTTAACTAGCAAAACATAACTCCTAGTTTCTAGCAATTTCTCATAACACAATGTAAAGCTACTTTTCACAGCCACCTTCAACATTTTGTCTATAGTAACCCCATTTATATACACTGTGAACCAGACCACCACGTTGAATGGAAACAAGGAATAAAGAACCCAATCCAGATAATCCCTGAACCTTTAATTTTTTTCCCACCCACTAGTTCTTGCTTTGACATTTGAAATTAAGCATCAAGCAATCATGATAAGATTACACATGCACAGTTGAACTAAGATAGTGCCATGCCCAGAATTTTTTTTTTCTTCTTGTAATAAAAAGATTATTAAAAAAAAAAAAAAAAGTTATTGCAAGTCATGGAAAAATGAAATTAACCTAAAGGATGAGTGACACCAGTTGCAACTGCAACAGCAAGTCCGCTTGTGCCGAAGTGAGAAAGAATATGAGATGGCGTAGCCGACCAAATCTGCTTCTCTTTGACTTTGACATTAACGGCACCTGAAGAATCCAATTAAGACATCAGTATCAAATTTTTACTCTCACTTAACGAGGCATAACCATCAATAACGCTAACGATACGAAACATAAATTTCATAGATCCGAAAAAAGATGATTATCTGTAAAGTACATTAGTTCTGAATTTATTTAATTTTCTCTATCTCCGTCTTCTCAGCAAACGAACAACGATGAAGATCGAATAGAAAATCGGAAATTACCGGAAAGCGAAGAATCGGCGCCCATGCTCTCGATTTTTTCCTGCAGTTTACTGTCGGAGAAATTAGTGAGGAACTGAGGATGTAAGGTTGGTTTAAGAATCACTTTAACCGTTATCCTTTTATTCAATGGGTAAACGCCACGTGTAATTGGAAAGAAAAAAATGATTTTCTCTTCTACAAATTATTTTAATTATTTTTTACATTATAAAATTATCAAAATTGTTATCATTCCGTAAGCTTAAAATGCATGTCAAGACAAACTGTTCAAATATATAATTTTCTTATATATAAGTGTGCTTGTGCACGCGCATGTGTTAATTTCTTATAAATTTGTTACTCTCTCTATTTCGAAATAAAAGATGTGTTAACCTTATAAATTTTTTCTAAAATGAATATCGCTCGACCAAATGCAACCCTCTCTCTCTTTGTCGAAGTATGCCCTTATCTCCTCTCTCTCTCTCTCTCTCTCTCTCTCTTTCTCTTTCTCTTTCTCTTTCTCTTGCCCTTTCTCTTTCTCTTTCTCTTTCAAAAGCCATTTAACACAACTTTTATATCAATCATCATTGTTTTTTCTTCGTTCCATTTCCCAGCACTTTCAGAGGGAGGAGCAAAGAGAACAAAATTTTACATTAAAAAATTAGTTTATTAAAAAGTGTACAATAACTTAAAATGATTTTTACTTCGAAACGGAGGGAGTAATTAATTAAAAAAACTTTTTTCATTAAAAAATATTATATTGAATTCTATTCTTTTGTTTGATAGAATAAAAAGTTGAAATAAAGTTGCAGCATTCTTAGGAAAGAAAAGGACCTTTTTAAAATTATACGTTGATTTTACTGACCTTTAGACGTTTTTAATCGATTTTAAACTTCAAAAAGGGTCATCTATGTAAATTCATTTGGTATAATATTCTCTTGTAATGAAAACTTTCACTTATAGCAATAATATGCTCACAAATCAATGAATAAAACTCATATGATATTGTCACTCTTTTTTTCTTTTTTTTTGGTTAGTTACAATGAATATTATTTTTGTGTTTTAGTTTTTAGATTATAGCAATAAATAATATATCATTGTGTCTTATTAAAGGATTTTTTTTTTTTAATTTTATAAAAAAATATTTTGTAACATAATTTCAAACTTTCAAATCTGGTCACACGTTTTCTAACAGCCCAAGAAATTTTAAATTTGGGTGCCAATCGATTCATATTCATCCTCATAATTACAACTTTGAAAAATTGATTAATAACTTCCACATGTGATAATCGATCACGTGCATTCAAAACTATACATTCATGGACATTAAAATGCAAATAAAGAAAATGAAAGATATTAGCTATCTATATTCAATTTATTTGAGAAAGTTTAAAAAATTACAACTTTAATAAGCACAATAAAATGTGACCATTCAATATTTAATAATTATAATTTCTTCGACCCTCACATTTTGGTATATTAAAAACATTCGAACCACATAATAAATTTAATAGTCACATAATTCACATTCTATACACTACAAAACATGATTTTACTTGACCACCTTGCATTAGTAAAAAAGAGTAATTTTATTATTATATATATTTATTTGGGTCAAAATTTTCGAATCAAATCCACTTGATTCTCATAATGTAAATTTTAGTTATTTTGTTGATTACACATTAAAATGGTGACTCAATAGAATGGATAGTGAAATTTAGAATAGTAGGGGTGAAAGTGATATTTTAAGGAACTAAAGGGGTAACAAATAACTAACAGTAAGGCGGTTTTTGTTATTTTGAAAACGATAGGGGTTTCTTTATTATTAGATAACCTCAGAAGGTTACATAGATATATAAATATGGTTTCTGTCCATTAGCGAAATGTTTCTCTAGTTGGTTCACTCTCTCTCTGCTAGGGTTTTTAATTTTTTCTCAATTCACAGCATTGATTCTTGCTATTTGGTTTTTTGATCTATACTCGGTTGTAAATTGATCTACACAAAGCTATGCCTCGGTACGTCCTTTTAAGTTTTTGATGTTTGATTACGAACGATTTTATGTTTATCTAATCGCGAATTCTTACGCATTTTCTTTTCATGTTGTTTGTACTAATTCGCAGGTATTACTGTGACTATTGCGACACATATTTAACCCACGATTCTGTAAGTGGTTTTGGTTTTTTCCAAGTTCACTTTTAGAATTGATGTTAGTGAGCATGATTCAATTTTTCTTATGACATTTGATTTTATTAAAAATTGCGCTTGCCTTCATTCGTACTATTTGTGCGCATGTTGTGCCTTTGAATATCTTCCAAGTCATCTAACTGGAAACATCCTACTAAACTGATTATTCTTGCTGTCTTTTTCAGCCATCTGTCAGGAAGCAGCACAACGCAGGCTACAAACATAAGGTATTGTACAAATGTGTCCTATATCTAAGTGAAATGCGCCACTTTATTTTCTCCTAATTATGTATTCATTTAAGGCAAATGTGAGAAGCTACTATCAGCAGTTTGAGGAGCAACAAACTCAAAGTTTAATTGATCAGAGAATCAAGGAACATCTTGGCCAAACTGCTGCATACCAGGTTGGTGCTGCTTACAATCAGCATGTAATGGCTCAGAGGCCCCGCCCACCAGTTCTACCAACACCTGTTATGCAAATGCCTGGAGGTGCTCAGTTAAATCCAGCATTACTCCCAGGGATGAGGCCTCCTGTTCTACCAAGGCCAATTCCTGGTCCTCCAGGTAAAGTGGGGTTAAAATATATTTTGAATCCTTGCTAAACATGTATTGATTCATATGAGAATGCATTTTGCATGTGAGCACATATATTTTATAACTTGATTGTTGGTGCCCACATCCTTGCTTATTGATCTGGCAGATGTCTTGTCGCTGGCTGTTCCTGCTGTTGGTTGATGTCATACGTCGGTAACAAATTTGTATAGTGATGGAGAACTTATAGATTTTTTCTGTATCAGTTACAAACCATGTTAATAAATCATTTACTATTGCCAATTCTCTTTTTCAAACTTAATTATCTTTCTTTAAGGATTTATTACTGGCAGCACCAGTTTATTAAGTGGGGGTTTTGCTCGAGTAATTAGATACAGAGACCATTTGATAGGCTTATTCAATTTTTGCTCCTAGATACTTAGGTTATAGGTTTTCTCTTTTGATCTCCTTGTGGACAGCTAATTGACCCAAATGTACATCTTTGATAAAAATTTCTTTATTTCCTATTTAAAAAGATTAATGGGCAGTATCAGTTTAATCATTTGATTGGCATGGGGTTGTTAGAAGGTTCATTTGACATGGATTATGGTGGATTGCTCTGTTTATGAAAACTAGGGCTGCCCCGCTCTTTACTATCAACTGGCTCTTTTTTTTCTTCTCCTTTTTTCTAGAAAGGTAACTGTATTATCCTAGGTTTCTTTGACAGACATGCCAAAAAAACGATGCCTGTTGACTTCCCTTTTTAGAGTTTAATGCTTGTGCTTTTTGGTGACCATCTTATAATGTATTTTTTGCATGTAATCTAATCGTGTGGCAGCAAGAATGCATGGATTTGAATTATTCTGATGGTGTTAGCAGGTTATGTGTCTGCTCCAGGCATGCCATCGATGGTGGCACCACCTGGTGCTCCTCCTGTACCTGGTCAAGTAAATGGTCTTCCTAGACCTCCTCCTGTGCTTAATCCAATAGCAGTTCCTGGTAGTGCCGCGCCACCTCCTTCGTCTACTGGAGCTCCTACCATGGTTACACCTTCATATCAAGCAAATTCATCTGTTCCAACGAGCGGTGGGTTTGATGGTTTCAATGCCAATGCCCAAGCTAATGAGTCCAATCATTAGTATGTTCCAAGCCGGTATGTTTTGCTTCTCTACCAAAATGAAGGATCTTTATTGCAAGTATGCCTTGGAATCTTTTGTGATTAATGACGTGTTATATCATCATTAGTGCGATGAAATGTAAAAGAATAAATTATATAAGTGCTCTTTGACTAGAGTATGTGTGGAATATGAGGCAGTATGATAACAAATTTGGGCAATTTATAACAATTGAACAAATTGTGTTATGTTTGGTCACTTTTTTCTTTGAAGTTTATGGAGTTCCCATGCAATAACTTTTCCAAAGAACTGTCCACATCATGAACTGTAACTTTGAAGTGGATGACTGACTGGGTTCCAAACAGATCTGTTTAAATTATGTTAGGATCAACTTCCCTTAGCCCACTTACTTGGGATGTTGAATCTTACACATTTCTTTTCTAATAAGATTTTGGGGTTTGACAAGAGTCCCTAATTTAGACTTCGGCAAAAATTTAGAAGGTTGAGACTCTTTGGCAACAAAAAAAAAAAAAAAAAAAATAAAAAAAATAAGAACGAGATGATTAAATGTTTTATATATCAATACTCTTTAAAAGCTTCTAGTTCTGATTTCTGTTCTTTTATTGCCTTTGAGAATTTAAGACAAATGAAGGCTTTTCTGATGTTTGGCTTCCAATGATTTTTAAGTTTTTTGTATTAATGATGACTACATTTGGATACTTATTTTATTGTAAATGACACTGCTTTTGTTGCAGGGAGTCTAACTAGCACTTTCACTGCATGATGTATGACTTGGGGTTCTGGATAGGTTGTAATGTGCTCCCAGAGCTTGGCATGCAGCCCAAAATGGTTGTGAATTTTTGTCATTTTTGTAAACATTAATGAAATGTCATGGAACCCATGTAGTTATGTTAAAAGGTTGTGAAAAATTTCTATTCAATGTGATTTGATTAGTGGCGGAATAAGAATAGAAGAAGTTTGAGACTAATACAAGTAATTGCTGAAACTAATGGTTCTTAATGGATTTTAGTTTGTTTTACTCGGTATGATTAAGCTGAAATGGTGCTTTTACCTATAACTGATTGTCTTATGGAAATATATTATATCTTTATATTAAGCTGGCCAGATGTAGGAAAGGTTTCACTTTGTAAATTATTGCACTTCACTGTTGGTTGGCAAGCTTAGTATGGGTAGATTGTCTCATTGTAATATGAATGTTCTTCACTGGAAGACGATTTTAAGAGCAAGAAGAAAGAGACATCTTGTTCTCCTTTAGGATATATATATGTTTAAATTCTAATTGAGTTTACAAGAGTAACAAGACAAGACGATTGCAATTGCAGCACACACCAACAAAAAGATGGAAAAGGTCGCCATCCAGTGTTTTACCCTTACAATTTGACTAACTCCCGTTGCAAGCACACATCTTTCCTTAACCTTGTTCTGGTTTGACTCCGACTGGCATGATTCTTGAAGAGCTGATGTCTGTAAATAAAATAAAAAATATATATTATATAAACCAAAAACTTGATTCACCTTCACAACTCCAAAAGCATGAGAAAAATTCCAAATGCTAATCAATAAACGATTGATTCTTGTTCTTGCAATGCAAGTTCTGACCTCTCAAATTCCAGTTTCTGGATTATTATCCCATTCAGTATAAGTTCTGAAGTATACGCCGCTATTCCTGTAGTAAGAATAGACCAAAAATGTTTTACTTTTAACATTTGAGTAAATTCTTTTGTTTAAAGAAAAATGGGTTAGTTGTATTACCTTTATCAAGGAGAGGAACACAGATTGCACGATCTTCTTCACAGGAAAGAATGAATAGATTATCTTGGATGTTTGCAGCAGAAGCAGATATCTGACTTTTCTCCACTACCTAAGTAGTAGGAACAAATATCAAGCACATTAAAGGTGCTATAAATTGCTCTACTGGATCACTACTAGCCATTGAGTCACAATTTTTTGGCAGATTCACAAACCTGGCCATGAACTGCCTTGACCAAGCTACTCATCATTTCTTTAGGAGGTTTTATGTTTGGGGTAATGAATACACTCCGACCCTGTTCATATCACCATTTTCAGTCTCTCTAATAACATGACATTTTTGTTATTTTTTAATTTTTATTTTGAATCAACCAAAAAAATTGACAGTAGCTTATGCACAATCACCTCTAGAAGTGGATGCTGGCTTGCACGAGCAACCGAAACAGCCATGCTAAATCCAATTTCTTTTTCCTTTTTGGCATCCCTCAGGATGTAATTCTTCTCATCTATTAAACACCTTGCTTGTCCGCAGCTCTCCAGCCATAAATGTGTCACCACTGGTTTACCAAGAGCAATGACTTCTAACATATTCCTTGTACGCACAAATCTATTTGCTATAAAGTGTGTGGCATCCATGGGACATGTTGCGGTGGAAATGCCAAGCCGTGCTGAGATCTGCTGGAATCAAAAGGAAATAACAATAACAATAAATACACATATATATAAGTATATAAGTGATCTTGCAGCTGATTGAAAGACAAAGGACTTGTAAAAAACACCTTTTTCTGATGCTTGATTACACTGTCATCCAAATGCTGGCTAAACAATACACGAACATGTGCCGTATCTTTTCGTCTTCTTAATTCCTTCCATGTGAAATCGGGTATTGACTCAGGGACACCTAATTTGATAAGCTCTTTCAAAAGGGAGGATTTGGGTAGGTTTTTACTAAAGGGTCTTTTGTGATATTTAGAAGAAAAACAGTTGGAACGTGCGACGTTCATAAGATTGGTACGGTTAGTGGTAGTATATCCTGAACTCGAGAGCTCAAGGTTCTTGTTTGGTGAAACACCAAACTCCCGGTTCTTTTGTACACCATTGCTAAACAACCCAAAGTCCATTTCATTTACCTCGCTGGACTGCATGAATGCCATTTTTCTATCATGGTCTCCTCTAAAGGTTTCCTTTGTGCCTCTATTGTAAGAAGAGGTTTTGTGATTGTCTTCCATAATTCTTTCACTTTTGTTACAATAACTTTTGTGTACATTCCCACCTAGTGTTCGTAAAGGAACAGAAATGTCATTGGATTTTGAATGGCTTCGCACTTTCCGCAATGCTTTTTTCCCTTTAGGGTGGCTCCATGTAACTAATTTCATACAACTGGTTGAAGCACATAATTCTTTGCAACTTTCCTCCTTTTTACTTAAGTTGCTGTCTCTAGCTTCAGCTGATGAATCTGCATAAAATGTAGGACATCTTTCTCTGCCACTCACAAATTTAGTAGGATCGGCCACTAATCTACTCCTCTTTCTCCTGTATTTAAGGATGCCATCATCTGTCTTTTGTCCCGGATTATCTGATTGATGATAGGTCCTTTTCAATATATCTCCAGCCGAAGACGGCGGGATTGCTCTGTTTATGAAAACTAGGGCTGCCCGCTCTTTACTATCAACTGGCTCTTTTTTCTTCTCCTTTTTTTAGAAAGGTAACTGTATTATCCTAGGTTCTTTGACAGACATGCCAAAAAAAACGATGCCTGTTGACTTCCCTTTTTAGAGTTTAATGCTTGTGCTTTTGGTGACATCTTATAATGTATTTTTGCATGTAATCTAATCTGTGGCAGCAAGAATGCATGGATTTGAATTATTGATGGTGTTGCAGGTTATGTGTCTGCTCCAGGCATGCCATCGATGGTGGCACCACCTGGTGCTCCTCCGTACCTGGTCAAGTAAATGGTCTTCCTAGACCTCCTCCTGTGCTTACCAATAGCAGTTCCTGGTAGTGCCGCGCACCTGCTTCGTCTGCTGGAGCTCCTACCATGGTTAAAACTTCATTCAAGCAAATTATCTGTTCCAACGAGTGGTGGGTTTGACGGTTCAATGCCAATGCCACAGCTAATGAGTCCAATCATTAGTATGGTCCAAGCCGGTATGTTTTGCTTCTCTACCAAAATGAAGGATCTTTATTGCAAGTATGCCTTGGAATCTTTGTGATTAATGACGTGTTATATCATCATTAGTGCGATGAAATGTAAAAAGATAAAATATAAGTGCTCTTTGACTGAATGTGTGGAATATGAGGCAGTATGATAACAAATTTGGGCAATTTATAACAATTGAACAAATTGTGTTATGTTTGGTCACTTTTTTCTTTGAAGTTTATGGAGTTCCCATGCAATAACTTTTCCAAAGAACTGTCCACATCATGAACTGTAACTTTGAAGTGGATGACTTACTGGGTTCTAAACAGATCTGTTTAAATTATGTTAGGATCAACTTCTAGCCACTACTTGGGATGTGAATCTACGCATTTCTTTTCTAATAAGATTTTGGGGTTTGACAAGAGTCCCTAATTAGACTCGGCAAAAATTTAGAAGGTTGAGACTCTTTGGCAACAAAAAAAAAAAAAAAAAAATAAAAAAAATAAGACCGAGATTAAATGTTTTATATATCAATACTCTTTAAAAGCTTCTAGTTCTGATTTCTGTTCTTTTATTGCCTTTGAGAATTTAAGACAATGAAGGCTTTTCTGATGTTGGCTTCCAGATTTTTAAGTTTTTTGTATTAATGATGACTACATTTGGATACATTATATGTAAATGACACTGCTTTTGTTGCAGGGAGTCTAACTAGCACTTTCACTGCATGATGTATGACTTGGGGTTCTGGATATGTTGTAATGTGTCCCAGAGCTTGGCATGCAGCCCAAAATGGTTGTGAATTTTGTCATTTTTGTAAACATTAATGAAATGTATGGAACCATTAAAAATTATACGTTGATTTTACTGACCTTTAGACGTTTTTAATCGATTTTAAACTTCAAAAAGGGTCATCTATGTAAATTCACTTGGGATAATATTCTTTTGTAATGAAAACTTTCACTTATAGCAAAAATATACTCACAAATCAATGAATAAAACTCGTATGATATTGTCACTCTTTTTTTTTTTTTTTTTTTTTTGGTTAGTTACAAATACAATGAATATTATTTTTGTGTTTTAGTTTTTAGATTATAGCAATAAATAATATATCATTGTGTCTTATTAAAGGATTTTTTTTTTAATTTTATAAAAAAAAATATTTTGTAACATAATTTCAAACTTCCAATTCTGGTCACGCGTTTTCTAACAGCACAAAAAATTTTAAATTTGGGCGCCAACAGATTCATATTCATCCTCATAATTACAACTTTGAAAAATTGATTAATAACTTCCACATGTGATAATCGATTACGTGCATTCAAAATTATACATTCATGGACATTAAAATGCAAATAAAGAAAATGAAAGATATTAGCTATCTATATTCAATTTATTTGAGAAAGTTTAAAAAATTACAACTTTTATAAGCACAATAAAATGTGACCATTCAATATTTAATAATTATAATTTCTTCGACCCTCACATTTTGGTATATTAAAAACATTCGAACCACATAATAAATTTAATAGTCACATAATTCACATTCTATACACTACAAAACATGATTTTACTTGACCACCTTGCATTAGTAAAAAAGAGTAATTTTATTATTATATATATTTATTTGGGTCAAAATTTTCGAATCAAATCCACTTGATTCTCATAATGTAAATTTTAGTTATTTTGTTGATTACACATTAAAATGGTGACTCAATAGAATGGATAGTGAAATTTAGAATAGTAGGGGTGAAAGTGATATTTTAAGGAACTAAAGGGGTAACAAATAACTAACAGTAAGGCGGTTTTTGTTATTTTGAAAACGATAGGGGTTTCTTTATTATTAGATAACCTCAGAAGGTTACATAGATATATAAATATGGTTTCTGTCCATTAGCGAAATGTTTCTCTAGTTGGTTCACTCTCTCTCTGCTAGGGTTTTTAATTTTTTCTCAATTCACAGCATTGATTCTTGCTATTTGGTTTTTTGATCTATACTCGGTTGTAAATTGATCTACACAAAGCTATGCCTCGGTACGTCCTTTTAAGTTTTTGATGTTTGATTACGAACGATTTTATGTTTATCTAATCGCGAATTCTTACGCATTTTCTTTTCATGTTGTTTGTACTAATTCGCAGGTATTACTGTGACTATTGCGACACATATTTAACCCACGATTCTGTAAGTGGTTTTGGTTTTTTCCAAGTTCACTTTTAGAATTGATGTTAGTGAGCATGATTCAATTTTTCTTATGACATTTGATTTTATTAAAAATTGCGCTTGCCTTCATTCGTACTATTTGTGCGCATGTTGTGCCTTTGAATATCTTCCAAGTCATCTAACTGGAAACATCCTACTAAACTGATTATTCTTGCTGTCTTTTTCAGCCATCTGTCAGGAAGCAGCACAACGCAGGCTACAAACATAAGGTATTGTACAAATGTGTCCTATATCTAAGTGAAATGCGCCACTTTATTTTCTCCTAATTATGTATTCATTTAAGGCAAATGTGAGAAGCTACTATCAGCAGTTTGAGGAGCAACAAACTCAAAGTTTAATTGATCAGAGAATCAAGGAACATCTTGGCCAAACTGCTGCATACCAGGTTGGTGCTGCTTACAATCAGCATGTAATGGCTCAGAGGCCCCGCCCACCAGTTCTACCAACACCTGTTATGCAAATGCCTGGAGGTGCTCAGTTAAATCCAGCATTACTCCCAGGGATGAGGCCTCCTGTTCTACCAAGGCCAATTCCTGGTCCTCCAGGTAAAGTGGGGTTAAAATATATTTTGAATCCTTGCTAAACATGTATTGATTCATATGAGAATGCATTTTGCATGTGAGCACATATATTTTATAACTTGATTGTTGGTGCCCACATCCTTGCTTATTGATCTGGCAGATGTCTTGTCGCTGGCTGTTCCTGCTGTTGGTTGATGTCATACGTCGGTAACAAATTTGTATAGTGATGGAGAACTTATAGATTTTTTCTGTATCAGTTACAAACCATGTTAATAAATCATTTACTATTGCCAATTCTCTTTTTCAAACTTAATTATCTTTCTTTAAGGATTTATTACTGGCAGCACCAGTTTATTAAGTGGGGGTTTTGCTCGAGTAATTAGATACAGAGACCATTTGATAGGCTTATTCAATTTTTGCTCCTAGATACTTAGGTTATAGGTTTTCTCTTTTGATCTCCTTGTGGACAGCTAATTGACCCAAATGTACATCTTTGATAAAAATTTCTTTATTTCCTATTTAAAAAGATTAATGGGCAGTATCAGTTTAATCATTTGATTGGCATGGGGTTGTTAGAAGGTTCATTTGACATGGATTATGGTGGATTGCTCTGTTTATGAAAACTAGGGCTGCCCCGCTCTTTACTATCAACTGGCTCTTTTTTTTCTTCTCCTTTTTTCTAGAAAGGTAACTGTATTATCCTAGGTTTCTTTGACAGACATGCCAAAAAAACGATGCCTGTTGACTTCCCTTTTTAGAGTTTAATGCTTGTGCTTTTTGGTGACCATCTTATAATGTATTTTTTGCATGTAATCTAATCGTGTGGCAGCAAGAATGCATGGATTTGAATTATTCTGATGGTGTTAGCAGGTTATGTGTCTGCTCCAGGCATGCCATCGATGGTGGCACCACCTGGTGCTCCTCCTGTACCTGGTCAAGTAAATGGTCTTCCTAGACCTCCTCCTGTGCTTAATCCAATAGCAGTTCCTGGTAGTGCCGCGCCACCTCCTTCGTCTACTGGAGCTCCTACCATGGTTACACCTTCATATCAAGCAAATTCATCTGTTCCAACGAGCGGTGGGTTTGATGGTTTCAATGCCAATGCCCAAGCTAATGAGTCCAATCATTAGTATGTTCCAAGCCGGTATGTTTTGCTTCTCTACCAAAATGAAGGATCTTTATTGCAAGTATGCCTTGGAATCTTTTGTGATTAATGACGTGTTATATCATCATTAGTGCGATGAAATGTAAAAGAATAAATTATATAAGTGCTCTTTGACTAGAGTATGTGTGGAATATGAGGCAGTATGATAACAAATTTGGGCAATTTATAACAATTGAACAAATTGTGTTATGTTTGGTCACTTTTTTCTTTGAAGTTTATGGAGTTCCCATGCAATAACTTTTCCAAAGAACTGTCCACATCATGAACTGTAACTTTGAAGTGGATGACTGACTGGGTTCCAAACAGATCTGTTTAAATTATGTTAGGATCAACTTCCCTTAGCCCACTTACTTGGGATGTTGAATCTTACACATTTCTTTTCTAATAAGATTTTGGGGTTTGACAAGAGTCCCTAATTTAGACTTCGGCAAAAATTTAGAAGGTTGAGACTCTTTGGCAACAAAAAAAAAAAAAAAAAAAATAAAAAAAATAAGAACGAGATGATTAAATGTTTTATATATCAATACTCTTTAAAAGCTTCTAGTTCTGATTTCTGTTCTTTTATTGCCTTTGAGAATTTAAGACAAATGAAGGCTTTTCTGATGTTTGGCTTCCAATGATTTTTAAGTTTTTTGTATTAATGATGACTACATTTGGATACTTATTTTATTGTAAATGACACTGCTTTTGTTGCAGGGAGTCTAACTAGCACTTTCACTGCATGATGTATGACTTGGGGTTCTGGATAGGTTGTAATGTGCTCCCAGAGCTTGGCATGCAGCCCAAAATGGTTGTGAATTTTTGTCATTTTTGTAAACATTAATGAAATGTCATGGAACCCATGTAGTTATGTTAAAAGGTTGTGAAAAATTTCTATTCAATGTGATTTGATTAGTGGCGGAATAAGAATAGAAGAAGTTTGAGACTAATACAAGTAATTGCTGAAACTAATGGTTCTTAATGGATTTTAGTTTGTTTTACTCGGTATGATTAAGCTGAAATGGTGCTTTTACCTATAACTGATTGTCTTATGGAAATATATTATATCTTTATATTAAGCTGGCCAGATGTAGGAAAGGTTTCACTTTGTAAATTATTGCACTTCACTGTTGGTTGGCAAGCTTAGTATGGGTAGATTGTCTCATTGTAATATGAATGTTCTTCACTGGAAGACGATTTTAAGAGCAAGAAGAAAGAGACATCTTGTTCTCCTTTAGGATATATATATGTTTAAATTCTAATTGAGTTTACAAGAGTAACAAGACAAGACGATTGCAATTGCAGCACACACCAACAAAAAGATGGAAAAGGTCGCCATCCAGTGTTTTACCCTTACAATTTGACTAACTCCCGTTGCAAGCACACATCTTTCCTTAACCTTGTTCTGGTTTGACTCCGACTGGCATGATTCTTGAAGAGCTGATGTCTGTAAATAAAATAAAAAATATATATTATATAAACCAAAAACTTGATTCACCTTCACAACTCCAAAAGCATGAGAAAAATTCCAAATGCTAATCAATAAACGATTGATTCTTGTTCTTGCAATGCAAGTTCTGACCTCTCAAATTCCAGTTTCTGGATTATTATCCCATTCAGTATAAGTTCTGAAGTATACGCCGCTATTCCTGTAGTAAGAATAGACCAAAAATGTTTTACTTTTAACATTTGAGTAAATTCTTTTGTTTAAAGAAAAATGGGTTAGTTGTATTACCTTTATCAAGGAGAGGAACACAGATTGCACGATCTTCTTCACAGGAAAGAATGAATAGATTATCTTGGATGTTTGCAGCAGAAGCAGATATCTGACTTTTCTCCACTACCTAAGTAGTAGGAACAAATATCAAGCACATTAAAGGTGCTATAAATTGCTCTACTGGATCACTACTAGCCATTGAGTCACAATTTTTTGGCAGATTCACAAACCTGGCCATGAACTGCCTTGACCAAGCTACTCATCATTTCTTTAGGAGGTTTTATGTTTGGGGTAATGAATACACTCCGACCCTGTTCATATCACCATTTTCAGTCTCTCTAATAACATGACATTTTTGTTATTTTTTAATTTTTATTTTGAATCAACCAAAAAAATTGACAGTAGCTTATGCACAATCACCTCTAGAAGTGGATGCTGGCTTGCACGAGCAACCGAAACAGCCATGCTAAATCCAATTTCTTTTTCCTTTTTGGCATCCCTCAGGATGTAATTCTTCTCATCTATTAAACACCTTGCTTGTCCGCAGCTCTCCAGCCATAAATGTGTCACCACTGGTTTACCAAGAGCAATGACTTCTAACATATTCCTTGTACGCACAAATCTATTTGCTATAAAGTGTGTGGCATCCATGGGACATGTTGCGGTGGAAATGCCAAGCCGTGCTGAGATCTGCTGGAATCAAAAGGAAATAACAATAACAATAAATACACATATATATAAGTATATAAGTGATCTTGCAGCTGATTGAAAGACAAAGGACTTGTAAAAAACACCTTTTTCTGATGCTTGATTACACTGTCATCCAAATGCTGGCTAAACAATACACGAACATGTGCCGTATCTTTTCGTCTTCTTAATTCCTTCCATGTGAAATCGGGTATTGACTCAGGGACACCTAATTTGATAAGCTCTTTCAAAAGGGAGGATTTGGGTAGGTTTTTACTAAAGGGTCTTTTGTGATATTTAGAAGAAAAACAGTTGGAACGTGCGACGTTCATAAGATTGGTACGGTTAGTGGTAGTATATCCTGAACTCGAGAGCTCAAGGTTCTTGTTTGGTGAAACACCAAACTCCCGGTTCTTTTGTACACCATTGCTAAACAACCCAAAGTCCATTTCATTTACCTCGCTGGACTGCATGAATGCCATTTTTCTATCATGGTCTCCTCTAAAGGTTTCCTTTGTGCCTCTATTGTAAGAAGAGGTTTTGTGATTGTCTTCCATAATTCTTTCACTTTTGTTACAATAACTTTTGTGTACATTCCCACCTAGTGTTCGTAAAGGAACAGAAATGTCATTGGATTTTGAATGGCTTCGCACTTTCCGCAATGCTTTTTTCCCTTTAGGGTGGCTCCATGTAACTAATTTCATACAACTGGTTGAAGCACATAATTCTTTGCAACTTTCCTCCTTTTTACTTAAGTTGCTGTCTCTAGCTTCAGCTGATGAATCTGCATAAAATGTAGGACATCTTTCTCTGCCACTCACAAATTTAGTAGGATCGGCCACTAATCTACTCCTCTTTCTCCTGTATTTAAGGATGCCATCATCTGTCTTTTGTCCCGGATTATCTGATTGATGATAGGTCCTTTTCAATATATCTCCAGCCGAAGACGGCCTATTTTCCTGGTCAACACATGAAGACGTCTTAAGCTCCTCTTCTCCTTGTCCCTTGCTGAGTGAGATACGTTCACCTCTAGTAGGATCAACCACTAGTCTACTCCTCTTTCTTCTGTATTTAAGGATGCCATCATCTGTCTTTTGGCCTGGATTATCTGATTGATGATAGGTCCTTCTCAACATATCTCCAGCTGAAGATGGCCTAGTTTCCGGGTCAACACATGAAGAAGTCTTAAGCTCCTCTGTTGCTTGTACCTTGCTGAGGGAGATACGTTCAACGGAAATTGTTGAGCCCTGGTAAGTTTCACCATTATTGTTCCTACCCACAATTTCATCTTCTTGTCTTTGCTCCATAAGCGTAGGTCGTCTGCCGGGACTTTCATTGGAGTTGGCAGAATTTCTAGATTTAAAATGTTCCCCGATCAATAATTTGCCCCTCTTCATATTCCTCATTATTGCCAACTCTGGGCCCAGCTCTTGATCGGTAGATTTCTTGCCGGATTTTCTAGAAGAACGCTTTCTTTGCGTTGGCTTTCTTTCAGTGGCTCTTAAATAGCAGCTATCAGTCTTAGGAAGAGAAATTTGTTCTGCACGACCTTTCCTTGTTGTTAGACCTTTTAAAGAGTCGTCAGTGATGTTCAGTGGATCTTGGTAAGCATCAGAAGCAATGCAGCCAGCAGATGGCCCATTTGATAAGGCTTCCATCGCTTCAGCAGCTATTTGAGTGTTGAATCCTACATTGAAAATGTCTGGAGCATCCAACTCCTGCTCTGATGATTCTCCATGCATCTCCTTATTGAATCCCTTAACACAATTATTTTCTAGATTTAACTTAGATACCTCTTCTACTCTACAAGTCTCTTTTGGACCGTGCTCTATAAACATTGAATCTGAATAAGTTGAAAACGCTATTTCCTTGTGAAGGTTCAAAATCTCTTTCTTCTGTTCAATCTTATTACCTGAGATGTTACCTTCTTTACTGTTAAGATGCCTAGGCTTGTTACGTCTCGTAACAGATCTCTGCCTAAAACCTCCAAATTCGAAAGGGGTTTCTGTCCTCTCGCTAAAGACATCATCCTCTACATGTTGATCACTATCAGCCCATTGAAAGGTTTCAATTTTTGCAATTGAGGCTGCTCTAAAATTCATTCTCTTAGCCAAAATTTGAGGTCCCTTTGCACTTGAAAGACGAGGAGATTTCTCCCTGACAGTCTTTTTGATGTCAAGTCCAGGAGCGAATTCGAATTCCATCTTCTTAGATGACAGGAATTGATCCACAAATTCAAGAGCATTTGCTTGCGACGACTCTTCATATTCCACATCACCACTATCGCAAGTGAACAACTGAGGAAGCTCTTTTTGCTCATCACTTCTCTCAACATGAACTCCACATCCTTTGTTCCCTTCAAGTAAATGCATAGTAATATTCAGTTCCAGCAGATTCATATTGATTTTGCAGGAGCAATAATCAAGTGCCACAGGAAAAACACCCAAACATATATTTAAATAATACTACAAATAAAATTTACAAATTTCTCAAATTAAATTAACACTGACCGATACTACAATGTTGATGAGCACATGTCGCAGCCATATCCTGAAAGTTTAATGAGTTACCATCTGATAACCCATTGGAAACCCTCACCGTTTTGCTTGTACAAACACCTTCATCTTCACTATCAAGAACAACTTCCTTCTCGTGCTCTGAATGGAGTATCATATCCTTGTTACAATCAGAATCATCCACCACTTGAGTGTCAAAATTAAGTTTCTCCAACTGGGTCTGAACTAAGGGACTATCAAGAAGCATAGTATCTTCAAACTGATGGTACTCATTTCCATCCCCAACTTCCTTTTCATCTCCTAATTTTCAGTATTCGAAAAAAATATAACCATTAGATTAAACTTAACAACTGATTTAGCACCAAAACAAATGAAGATATTTACTAAATTGGAATTAAAAAAAAAATACCACGAGGTTCTGATGGAGATGAGCGAGAGTGCGAGTAGAATGGATGAGTGTTAGTTTGATCAGCCATGGAAGAAATTCATGAGAAAACCTAATTGCAATGTAGGAAGAATAGTGATTTGACGAATAAAATGAAGTTTCAAATATGAATCATTCAAGTTTAGGGGGAAAAACGTTTCAGCTCAATAATTTGGAGGGAAATACTCATCGTATTTATTTATTACAAATATTATTTATATTTTTGGAGTAACCGCAACGGGCATTTGGTCTAGTGGTATGATTCTCGCTTAGGGTGCTAGAGGTCCCGAGTTCAATTCTCGGAATGCCCCTTTTTATTTGATTTTAATTTTTCTGGTGGGATAATTTCGTCTTTTCACCTAGTCATTAGGGGATTCAAAAAGTTTGGGCATGATTTTTATTTTTCGGATAGGATATTTTCGTCTTTTTACGTAGTCATTACAGAATTCAAAAAAGCTTGGGGCATTCCGAGAATTGAACTCGGGACCTCTCGCACCCTAAGCGAGAATCATACCACTAGACCAAATGCCCGTGAATGTTGGCTATGCCCATGTTAGATAAAAATTGGAGAGTAAATTAATCACATTTAAGATACTGCATTGAATTAGATTTGCAGCTGGATTGACAAACTGTCTATTGAAAAAGGAAATTATTAAAGAAAAAAGAACTTTTAGATATTTAATAATATTGGAAAGAAGAGTTAATACAAAGTTGGGGCCTAAGCAGTTTTGTGAATTGGGTAGGGCTTTGATTTGAATTTTGAAGTATGAGTTGTGATAGTTGTCAGTGGTTTCCAGTTGTAATTGAAACTCTACTACCTCGTGCATCATTTGCTTTTTAAGTAGCAAACTCTCTCCCTGAATCTGACAAAATGGTGATGGTTTTTCTCTTTCTTTGTGATTGCATTTCTTTATTTCAATAAAAAATGTAATATTAATCATTTTACATGTTAATTTCTTTTCTTATTTGCTATTGCTAAAACATTGCAGCCTATTGGGATGATATAAACCCATTGCCAAGTTACAAGATTTAGTTTTTTTATTTGATCTGAAAAACTTATCGGATCAAATGAAAAATATTAATCTTGACATCCTTGCAAGGTGTTTTTTCCATCAATGGTATCTTCTAGTCTTTTAGAACCCTTCTATTTTCATTGCTTTTAAATCTTCTCAACCGTCAACTGTAGTCACTTGTATTCTATTATTTAATGCTTGATAAAATCTCTTTTACTATATTTGAATGCAATACATTCTTACAAAATTGTCTTTCTCTTTTTCAAGTTGATTTAGTTTAAGTTGTTTTCAGTAGTTAAGTTTATCTTCCAATCTTATAATTTATTGTTTTAGTAGTATTAGTATTTCTTATTTTATCTTTTCTAATAGAATTAGGTTTATTCCAGTCTTATAATTTCTTGTTTTAGTAGTATTCAGATTCCTTATTTATTTTTTTTTTTTTTTTCTAATAGAATTAGAGCTAGTTTACCATAAATAGGGTTATTATGTTATTCATAGTTATTATCAATAAAATTTATAAAGTTTTCTTTTTAGAATTGTTTTGTAGTGGATTCGACATCCTCTTGTACGTTTGATATTCATTGTTCGTAGATTCGAGCTGTTACGTGTCTAGTGCCTATCCAAATTCTATTATGCCAGTTAGTTTTGTATTTTATTTTCCTCTATAACGATCATTGTTTTTGTTTCAAAATGTTTAGCATTAGTAATTTGTTCCTAATGACAAAGTAGTTTTGCAGGATTGGATGCAGTAAAATGGCAGAAGCACGACGAGGCTGGGCTGATCTTCCTACTGATATAGGAACATCAATTGCTGAACATTTAGTCCTAATTGATCTTAGTTTTCGCAAGGTCTGTAAGAGTTGGAACTCTGCTTATGCTGCTTCCAGATGTTCAGCTAAGATTGAATCCCCACCTAATTATGAACCCTGGTTTATTCTTTATGGCGAGGATTCACAATGCATTTTGCTTAAAGGATCCCAAAAGAAGTACAAAATCAATTTCCCAGAATTGGATGGAGCAACATGCATTGCATCCAGGGATGGGTGGCTTCTTGTACACCAAGAAACCGTAATTTTCTTCTTCTGCCCCTTCTCCCGCTCTAAAATAGTCCTTCCTCAGTTCCCTGACTCAGAGCAACGTGATTATATTGGTGCATTTTCATCTCCTCCTACATCAAAAGATTGCGCTGTTTGTGTTGTTCGCCGTAATGATAAATTGGAGGTGGAACTACAATTGCTTTATCGTGGAGCTAATGCATGGACTATGCACAAATATAGTTACTGCAGAGACTTTTTTAACAATATTAAAGCAGCAGCTTATCTGGACGACAGAAAAAGATTCCACATTTACGATGATATAAATGGGTTCCTTACGTTTTCACCAGAAGACGGAAATTGGAAGATATATCTTATTATTGGTATTGGTATCTCGAGGTATAAGTCAGCAGAAGTTGAAAGAATACCCTTTTTTATTAGCAGGTGGAGTTTTCAAATGAGGAGCATGAAGACAAAGTTGGGGTTGAAAGAGGATGTTTCAATTGATACTTGTGGAACACTAGCATCATATCGTACTGATAATCATATACAGTACATACTACTTTTCAATGAGAATATCTCTCAAAAAACTGAAACCCGAAGCCGCCGCGGCCGCCGCCTTAAAGGAGTATGGATTGAACCTCGGTTCCATAAAATTCCCCAGAAGTGTAGTCGGCATGATCTATGAGAAATTGACTCTTTATCTTAGAATAATTGCTATACTTATACTATTTATTAGTTTTATTTTTGCTAAGATTCTTTGAAGAATAATTGAGTTTATGGTTTCACTTTTTAGAGTTGAGGTTTAATTAATGGAAATATTTCTCTGTTGCTTTGCTATGCTTTTATATGTCTGCAAACTATTTTCTAATCTTCCATGAAACTAATCAACTTAGACCATCATCAATCGTTGAGCTCAACATAAACGTGTTTGGAATATTGTGGCTCATTTTCCTATTTGTTTCCATGTAAAATTGTATGTCTTTATTAGAATTATGACAGTCTTATTATGAATTGAAATATGAATTTTATTAAGAATAGAATATCTCATATACTATCGATAAATATAAGGGTGAGAACCAATTCAAGATTATAAGAGAATGTGAGAACACAGAGTATTTGATGTAAAAGTTATTAAACACCATGGGAAGAATTTCTTAGAAACTGAGATTGTTTACACACTAGGTATTGGGTTGAGCGTGGTTAGAAACTAGGATGTTTTCACTCTGTTTTATGTACCGGGTTTATGGCATTTTGTACTCTTGTATATCGTGTTCATGAAATTATAATGGATTTCTCTCATCCGTGGATGTAGACAGATTATGCCGAACCACTTAAATATCATGTCTCTTTGTATGGTATGAATTTAATCCTATGTTGTTTATCTTGAAAATATATTTTTCGTTGCGTGATCTCCTAGCAAGTGGTATCAGAGCTCTAGGTTTCTACATGGGAGATGATTTCTTTCAAGATGGTGGATGCACATAAGAGATAGACTACAACAGGTTTAAGTTATAGGTGGAGTGGTTCTCAAATCTTGGCGGCAAAATTCGGCAGGGCTACTATGCAACCTGGATGCTAGCAAAATTTGACGTGGTTAACCTCAATGTTGTGGTGATGGAGCGTTATCTTCGTCATGTTCATCATTGTGATGGAAAACTTGTCAAGGTGGAGATTGTTGAGATATTATGACCCGTTTTCCTATTGGTTCCCATGTAAAATTGTATGTCTTTAGGAAAACTCTTTAGTAAAGAATACAATTCTAAATAGGAATAGAATTATGAGAGTCCTATTAGGATTTGAAATATGAACTCTATTAGGAATATAATATCGTGTATACTACTTATAATTATAAGGGTGAAAACCAATTCAAGGTTACGAGAGAATGAGAGAATGTGAGAACACAGGGTATTTGATATAAGAGTTATTAAACATCATGAGGAGAGTGTCTTAGAAACGGGGATTGTTTCCACTCTAGATACTGGGTTGACGTGGTTAGAAACTAGATGTTTCCGCTCTATTTTATGTATCAGGTTTATGGTGTTGTGTACTCTTATATATCATATTCATGAAACTATAGTGGATTTCTCTCATTTGTGGATGTAGACAGGTTATGCCGAACCACGTAATTATCGTGTCTCTTTACGTAGTATGATTTTAATCCTATGTTATTTATCTCGAAAGTATATTTTCCGCTGTGTGATCTCTTAAGAAAATGTTAATGTTAGCACCATCTCATCAAAGGTGGTGAGCGTGAACTTCTGCTAGTAAGAATTTTCAACAGTATTATGTAAAAGCTATTTCTTATATTCCCACAACCACAAGAAACTGTTGGTACTAGCTTTCCACACATACAGGCTACAGCAAGTAAAAATTGAAGATGATGAGACGACATGGCGTCATGGACGATCACCTGATCATATACACGTGCGTGAATTAACTTTAATGATTACTCCTTAATTTTTTCTATATACTGTATAAAGTGGAAGTTAAGCAGGTGTATTTTAAAATTGAAAAATGCTAGTTTGATCAAATGATCTTAATCAAATAGGGATATATTTGAATTTTCATATGATGATTCATATATAAAAAGATTTACTTGCCCTTGATGAATTAAGAAGTAAAAATTGATTCAATCGTGGAATAGTTTCAAATTTCATTTAATTCTCTCCCATTATTATAAAGTTTAGAAATCAAATTCCAAGGAGATATTTTTAAAATTTTGGATTTGTTGTAAAATATTAGATTTGTTACCAAAAAGATTTAAATGTTATAATAAATCTACCTGAAATAAGTTTAAAAGTCTTAGCACAAACTACACACTTGTATTATAAAGAGTTTATTCATAAAAATAAGAGTCCAGCAAATTCTTTATTCTTCAAATATAAATTAAGGAGTGAGTTTGACTCTCTACATCGAGAAAGTCAAATTTCAATTTCTATCATAATTTTAATTAATAAATTACAATTTTTTATGTATTTTATTTATTAATTCTCTCTCCTATTAAGTCTCTTTGTGGGAAAATGCAAAATGCAAAATTAAAATTTAGGAAAATGCTACACCTATAACCTCTTCTCATAAACTTTCTCTCACAACCCCAACATGGTAGTTTACAATTAGTCAGCTTGTAATGGGTCTCACCTGAGTCCCATTTGATAAATTGCAGCTGACTAATTGCGAGCTATCACATCAGAGTTGTGAGAGAAAATTTGTGAAAAGAGGTTGTGGGTATAGCATTAATATAAAATTTAAAGAGTCTATTGGATTTGTATAAAAAATTTATTTTTTATATTTAGAAATTAATGAATATATTTTTTACTAATATGAAAGATGCTCTTTAAATAGAAAGAACCATTAGAGATGCTCTAAAAACAATGTTTTTTTTTTTGTATTAGTATTGGATTATACTTCACTTTTTAAAACTTTAAATGTAATACTCTACCCATTAATCAGTAGGAGTTTATATATAGCAAGTAGTAATTAGTTAGAAAAGAAAATGTCATATACATATACATATTACATCCTCCAATTATCTCCTTTACCATATGTAACTTAATTAAACAATCTTAAATTCAAGTAATTATTTGAAAGATGTTACACAATCTATGTATTTAAATTTAAAGCCCTACGAAAATTTGATCTCAGATATTATTTCTATGGAAAACAATAATAATAATAATAATTTGACTTTGAAATTCAATTTACATAAAATTTATTCAACATTACGTGACTTACTATATATGTATGACATGTATATAGTATTGCTTACTATATATGTATATAATAGGTCACACACACACACACACACACACACACACACACACATATTTATATATAAATCTTTGTAACTGAGTTTTATCAATGATGACATCCGAGAATTTTTGACCGAATTCAGTGGATCTTTGAATAGGTATGATTGTACCATTGTAGATTATTTGACCTAAAAATCGGATTTTTGTTTGGAAAAAGGTTTATTTTTGTTTTTGATACAACTAAACTATTTGTTTTGACAATGTGAATAAATGTTTTTAAATGTTTAAAGTGTTGATCTATACTAGATGAAAATATAAGAATATCATCTATTTAGACAACAAGGAATTGAGAATATGGATTGAATATATTATTTATTATTCTTTAGAATTCTGATGGGGCATTTTTTAACCAAAATGACATTACATTCCATTTATATTGACCAAATGGTATAGTAAATGCGGTTTTATACCTATCTTCTAGTTTAAGTTGGATTTGCCAAAATCCAGATTTCATGTCAAATTTAAAAAATATTTTTGAATTGGATAGTTTTAGTAATAAATCTTTTTTGTTTGGAATTGGGTATTTTACCCATCTTAAGGTTGTATTAAGAGGTTTATAATTTATGACAAGTCTTGAAACTCCTCTTTCAAGTTCAGCATTTTTCTGAACATAGAAGGCCGAGCAACTCCAAGGAGACTTGCTTTTCCTAATTAATTTTTTTTTTTTTTTTGGTAGAAGATCGTTGATTTCCTTTTTACAATGTTCTTCTAATTCTTTATGCATTTGTATTGGTCTGGCTTTTTTAGGTATTTCTTTTTCATTAAAATCTTTTTCATAAGGCAAACTGACCATATGCTTTTTCCTTTTCCAAAAAGCATTAGGTAGGTCAGAGCAGATTTGAGTTTCAATAGTTTTTTGTATTTGATTTATCTTTGAGCAGATATCATTCTGTTGAAGTTGAGATTCAATTCTTTTAGTTTTAACTTCTTCTTGGAGGAAGCGTATATGTTTTTGTTTGTTTAGGATAAGGTGATTAATTTCTTTCTTTGATGTTGAGTATTCTTGGAGAATATTAAGGTTTTTTTTTTTTTTTTTTTTTTTTTTTTATGGGTTTGTGTACAAATTTGAAGATAAGAACTTCACCCATTATTTTTGTAGATATTCCTGAATCATCAACACTAAATGGTTGTATTAAATTAATGAAGAGTGTTCCTAATATTGTACTTCTTCTCAAAAATTTTACTAATAAAAATGAGGTTTTTAAACAAATATTTTGACTACAAACTTTAACATCTAATAATTTGTAATTGACAAAAGTGTTGAGCCATTAGCTAACTTAGCAGATTATAGTGTTTTTTCATTAAAGGTGGAAAAGTAACCCGCCCGGCCCAGCCCGCGACAGGTTACGAAGGTTGGTGGGCCGGGCCTAACTCGCCCGCCAACAAAGGCAGGCCGGGTTAGGCCCACCATTACGGAGAAAATGGCTAACCTAGCCCGGCCCGCCAACCCTAACCCGCCAGGTTAGGCGGCGGTTCGGGCCGGGTTAGCCCGATTTTCTTATTTTTTTGGTTTTTTTATTTTTTTTGTTTTTTTATTTTTTTTGTTTTTTTAATTTAACTTTCAAATAAATAATTATAAATATAATTGTTTTTAGTTAACTTTTCAAATATCAATAATTCAATTCAATTCAATTTTTTTTTTTGTTAACATTTCAAATATTAATTCAATTTTAATACAATAAAATTGTAATATAAGAAAAATTAGACTTATTCATTTATCAAAAAATAAAATAAGAAATTACAACAATTATTGCCTCGTTAAAAACCTCACCAAGAAAAACCCAATGGGAGAAAAACTTGGTAAAGAAAAAAGAGTGCAATAATTGACAATTAATTTACAAATTACATTTTACAAAACAACTAAATTGGGGGTGGT